CGTGATGTTCATCTCGCCTTATTCTGGGTCCGAATAAAACATCAGATCATGCACAGACTATCCTGTCTCTTTGAATTTAAATCTATATTTATTCACACTGGCTCTTGAAAACCTCTATGCGAACACACTTTCCCGAAAAAGTGCGGGGGACGAATTTACATGATATTAAAAGTGAGGGGGGACACGTCCCCCGCGTAATCTACGCCCCTGCTACAATCTGTTCAATAAACGTCCTGCAGTTGAGTTCAGCTCCAAAGACTCCTCAGCTCCCGTGAGATCGATATCAGTCCATAGCCTTGCTGATGCTCTTTCCTGACTTCACTCCGCCAAACAATCCACAGTAGGGCTGCACAATTATGACAAAAATCATAATTGTCGATTTTTCCCTTGAAATGTAATAGCGATTATTAATTACGACTATCACATTACGATTACCACAATTTACATTGATTGAATGATGTTTATACCATTGTTTGAAGTAACTGCATGCCATGTTTTTATATGAAAATAAATAAGCTGAAAACACTAACTGAAAAACTTTTATTGCTTATATAAGTCTCAAATGTCAACTATACAAAACACATTAATACATGTTATACAAAACAACAAAAAAACACATCTTAAGCACACAGAATAACGTAAGTGGACTTTGAATGATTAATTGCCGCTTTGAACGATTATGTAATTGTCACGGAATGCCAGGAGAGACAAGGTAAGATCCAGTTGCAGTTTATTGAAAGTAACAAAATAATCAAAACAGAACAAAAACGTGGCAAAAGGTAATCCAAAACGCAAGGAACAGATAACACGGTAAACTATAGACAACTCAGACACGAGATGACAAATACAAAATAGCAGCAATGACAGACAGAGTGAGCAAGGTATATATAGCTGGGATAATGAGTAAATGACTCCAGAGTGAGCAAGGTATATAAGCTGGGATAATGAGTAAATGACTAACAGGTGATAATGATCGGACAGAATGACAGACAAGGGACTATGGGAAATGGAGTTCACAACATATAACACAAAAACAGGAGAGCGCCCTCAAGTGGCCAGTCCAGGGCACCACAACCAGACACTGTGACAATTGTGGCATCCGTAATTGTAATCGCGATTATAAATTTGATTAATTGTGCAGCCCTAATCCACAGCACATCCAGAACCTATTTTTCCACCTTTCATCATTGTCAAATGGTCATTACTTGTTTTTCACATCTTTTACATTCACCTGATGCACTTACTGACTTTCCCATTTTGCATTCAGTAATGTCTTTACCTTTCATACTTAAGTATTATTTTGGGGAATTTGTACTTTATTCAAGTACAATTTAAACTGCCTGCTTGTACTTTTACTTATATTTCTGATAAAAACAGGACTTTTTACTCCTTACAATTTTATTTCAACTTGAAAAGTACTTGTTACATTTTTGCATTGTATTAAATATGGTGAACAGAAGCTCAAACATGAATGCTTGTCGTTTGAGAACCAATTATGCATGTTTTCATGGCTCTAGCTTCAGTTATATCTTTCATCAGGGAAATGCCTGGCTTCAAAAGTTTTGCCATCAAATCTGAGGAAGCATATGGAGGTAGCAAAGTTGCTTTATATATATGTTTCACAGTCAACACATGGCTTTTTGGCTAGATTTAAAACAAGGAAAAGTGCACTTTTAGATAAACAAGGCAATAATAGATGGCACTCGTGGTGGTAGGAAAACAAAGTTATATCTATTGAGTTTAAACGTGAATATGTCTATGAAAGATTGTATTACTGTACTGTCATAAAAGAGAATCACAATGCTGAAAAACAACGTTTGGATTTGAAATCAAAATAATGGATAAATGTTGTGTTTGTGGTAAACAGCCGCGGATCAGGAGCGGACTGCAAACGCGTCCTGTGCGAAAGCAAAATGAGTCCGTGCTGCTTCTGCACCGCATACACATACTGTATACGCACTGCAGACGGAGTACGTGTGAACTTGGCGCAACAAATCCAGTTCAACATCTGAGGCAACGCCCCAAAGAGCTCTATGACCAATGCATGGCAAAAAAAAAATCCCTGGACAC